GGCCGAAGAATAGATTTGGTCACAATAATCTAGCCTGGACAAGACTAGGGTGAAATGCAAATGGAGGAGTATGTGACGATCTGCTCCCCATGAACGATGTGCGAGAACCTTAAGGAGATTTAGCCGACTGTGGCAAGTTGTCCTTAAAGAAATGTTAGGTCTCCACGTCAGCCGGCGATCAAAGAGCAGGTCCAGAAACTTGACCATATCACATGCCAGAATATGTGAACCATACAAGTACAAGGGAGTATCCAGAATAAGCAGACGTCTAGTGAAGGTAATGAATCGGGTTTTCATACTAGAAAATTTAAAGCCATGAAAAGTGGTCCCATGGGAGACTCAGTCTATCACAACCTGCTGCTATAGTGAGGTCATTAACATAAAGTGACAACCAAATATGCGAAGGAAGAATGGAAGGTAAGTCATTTATAGCTAAGAGGAAAAGGGTAGTGCTGAGGGCAAAACCTCGTGGGACTCCCTCAGCTTGTACAAATTTCGAGGAAAGTGAGGCGCCAATACCAACCCGAAAATGTCTATTGGACAAGAAAGTAGCAATGAAGTTTGGTAGATTACTGCGGAGGCCTAAGTAGTGGGCTTGGGCTAGAATGTTATACCTCCAAGTGGTGTCATATACCTTCTCTAGATCAAAAAAGACAGCTAGGACAGAGTGGTTGTTAGCAAAGGCATTTCAAATATACGTATCTAAGTGGAGCAAGGGGTCTAAAGTAGAACAGCCTTTGCAAAAGCCATATTGGCAAAGGGAAAGGCTATCGTGTGTCTCTAAGAACCACATCAGACGTCTATTCACCAAGACCACGCTGGTCAGGGCAATGGGACAATAGTGAGAGGTGTCAAGCACCAAGGCACCAGATTTGCAAAACGGTAGTACAATAGCAGATTTCCAGTGTTGAGGGAGAACCCTTCGCTCCCAAATTAGATTGAAAAGACGTAAAACAACAGGAAGGGCTGCAGAATGGAGATGATGTAGCATACCAATATGGATATCATCAGGTCCCACTGCCAACGGCCGGCAAATGGAAAGCGTGGACTCCAATTCTAGAAGAGTAAAAGGTACGTTATACGGCTCCAATCCATCGGAGGAGAAATCTAAGGGCAATTGCTCTTTGGTAGGTTAAGATGCAAGAAATGAGAGACAGAGGTAAAGCCTCAGGAGATATGAACAAGATAGTTCCTGATTTCTGTGGCAACTTCTAGAGGTTCTGCGACATCAACTCCAGCAACCCACAAAACAGGAGCTGGGTCCGGAGTGTACTTACCACACAATTTCAGCACCTTTTTCCAAATCACGCACATAAGGGAAGATGAGGTAATGGTAGACACACAGTCTCACCAACAAGTGTGTTTAGCATCATGGATGACATGGCGAGCAACTGCCCTTGCCTGCTTAAAATCCAACAGACACTGCAGTGCGATTATATCGATAACGGCCCCATGCAGCACGTTTTAAATGCACTGCACGGATGCATGTAGGAGACAACCAAGGTACGCATGTCTGAGAATGCCTACCCGAGGTTTGGGGAATAGAATGCATCGCTGCACTTAGGACTAAGGTCGACAATTGGTATGCCAGTTCATCAATAGAGGTTGAAAGGGGGTCCTCACTACAGGTGGTAAGATGGGAGTATAAGTCCCAATCTGCTCGAGCAAATTGCCAACGAGGGCTACGAAACGGTTGGGTATATGTAGCAGAAATAAGAAGGATAGGAAAGTGATTACTATCATGTAAATCTGGAGGAAACGACCACTCAAAATCAAGTGCAATGGGCGAGGAACAAATAGAAAGATCAATGCAAGAGAGAGACTGAGTGCGAGAGTCAGAGTGGGTAGGAGCACCCATATTTAAAACATGATGAGGATGAGAAGCAATAAGTCTCCAACTGATCACCATGAGAATCACAATGGGACCCTCCCCAAAGATGGTGAGCGTTAAAAATCACCCAACAACAAAAAGTCGATATCAGAGATACAGAATGCATGGGAGGGAGAAAGATAGAGAGAGCAAACTGTAAACCATCTGTGTAAATAAATACGAACTGAAGTATAATGCAGCGGGGAACGAACAAAAACTTGTTGATACAGTATATCAATGCACACAAGAAGCATGCTTTCATTGAATGAGTCATCAGGTAAAGGATCGAAAGAATGTAACAGCATGTAGTGAATGACAGCAAAACGAATTTTGGGCTCTTGCAACCCAACACATACTGGGGACAACTAGGAGAGCAACACTTGGAGTTCTCTTCAATTGCCCCTAAGGCCACAAATATTCCATTGTAAACAAGACATTATGTACAGAAATAAAAAATGGCAACAATAAGAAATGAGAAAACCTATGGGCTTTTAGGATCAGTAAAGTCAGGATGTGGGGGCAACAGTAAGCGGGTAAGCAAGGAAGAATTAGAATATTGCGGAGGACTAGATTGTTGCGAGGGTCGTGAAACAGAAGGGGTAGGAGGAGGTGCGTTGGTGTCCATCGGGGGTGTCGTCTCCGCAATATAGCTGGAGATAGCGTCTAATGTCTCGGTTGTTAAGGAAGCCGATGATGCCAGAGACAGGAGAGGCACTGCAAGTAAAGGTCGGAATAACTATGGAGGCAACCAAAGAGGTTTGAGGGGAGGGTGGGGAGTATGAACCTGGATAAATGTGTTGGTTGAGGTAGAAGAGTCCAGTGGTGTAACAGGAGAGGAAGGAGGCTGGAGGGTAACTATGGAGGAAGATGGGGGGGGGAAGGGAAGAGAGGACTACACGAGGGGGTGTGAACTTTCACCTTCGTGTGAGAGTTGGAAAGGGGGTGAGAACTAGGCTCTGAGGTAGTAGATTCTGTACAGGTGATGGATGTGAAGGAAGTGTAGGTCTGCAAAGTCTCGTAGACTGAGAAGCAAGCGAACGAGATGAAGAAGTAGAAGTAGGAAGCGGTGCGGAGATAGGAGTGTCAGAGGATAAAACTACAAAAGAATTAGAAACTGGGGTAGAGGGATTGAGAGGACCATCGAGGTTGGAGGTCTTTGGGCTACCCGAGCATACTGGACTCTAGGAAGCTTTCCTTGAAGGCAGAGCTGAGAAACAGCCATAGTGTAAGGCCCTCACACTCCAGACCTGGCAACTGCGTGAACAGGAAGGATGAGGTTCCTCACAATTGAGACAAGAGGGGGGGAAGACTGCAAGACGTATTGGAATGATCCGCTGTACCGCAGACTGGGCATTCCGCCACAGATCTGCAGTGTTTAGTGGGGTGCCCAAAATGCCAGCAATTACGACACTGTTGGGGAATGGGAACTACTTGACAGACCTCTAAGCGACGGCCTGCAATATAGACAGAGGACAGAAGTTCATGGCAGTCTAAGGTTAAACGAGTGATGTTACTAGGAAAGCACCTCCACCCACAAGTGGGCAGGATGTATGTATTTACCTTAAGAATAGGGAGGTTCTGAAGGGCTAATTGTTCTAAAATATCCTTGCCGCAAGATAAAAAATCACTCTGTACAATGGTATGCAGTAAGACCACAGTCCCACTGCAAGAATTAAGAGTAGCATGCTTACAAACAGTGACTGGTATGTTATCTATGGAAGTGATGCGGGAGAGAGCATGAGCTTGCTCTGAATTCTGTATGTATTGTTACAACATGCACAACGCTTCAAAGAGCATGGAAGAATATATTTTGGCCAACGTGCCATAAAAGTTTAACCAATTCCATCAGAAAGATAATCAGTTTGAGACGTCGTCTGTAAAGAAAAGAATTTTGTCCACTGCGTACTTGTTAGCCCGGTACACAAAGGTAGTGAGTGTCGCGTAGGTCGAATTTGAGCAATTATCGACGAACTGTCGTCAGTAGGTTGTCTTGGACGTTTAAGAGTAGTACGGTGGGCAGTCTAACCTGAGGGAGGTGGGCGATCTGAAAACCGTCACTGTGTTCGGGGAAGCCAGACGTAGTATGAAAGGCATGCTAGAAGCAGCGGCATGAATAGAAATGAGTGATACCACAGCAGCTGAAGCACGTGACATCACTGGCAGAAGGTACAGGGATATGAGAAGAGTCGAGAGAATGGACCAATAACGAAGTTGGGTAAGAACAGGGTGTGGGATCAGAAAGGGGTTTGGGAGGAGGAAGGGTATCACTGGGCGAAGACTCCATAATAAAGGTGCTTCGTCTGTGATATCTCCTTTCTTGTTATTTTAAGAAAAAATAAAAGGAGGGGCCGAAAGCTTCCCCCCTCATCCGAGAGGGCCTCAAGCCCACCAGTGGTGAAGCTGCAGTGTGGAACTCGTGCTATACTTTACCCTTCATGCCAGTAAACCAGCGCTCCGGGATAGCAGCCTCACATCTACCGAGTTACCTTGGGGGACAAAAGGAAGGGCGGTTGGAAACCCACCACAAAGCATACATCCTTCAGCCGCAGCCTCCCAGAACCGACAGGCAGCTTCCGGAGATACACCTATTACCCAAAAGGCACCCCACCCACTTCCCGGAAATCCAGGAAGGGAGCAGGGCACCTTAAGATAATTCAGATTCCATGGCAAACCACACCACCCCCGAAGGACCTCACGGAGTGGGACAAACCCTGGCACGCCACCCCCTACCTAGAAACTGTAATGCCAGAGGGGAGTACCCCAGAGGCTACAAACAGGACAGGAAACAAGGGGAGGGCGGAGAGAGGGAAGGAAAGGGGAAAAAAGGGGGGTATGGGGAAGGTAGGGTAGGGAAGGGAGGACTGGAGGGGTAATTAGGTTCGGTCAGAGGAAGAAGACCAAGAGGCCCAATTCCTCAAATCGATAGCCTCTTTACCACTTCAAGGAGCCCCCCTTTAAAGAGGTGTACTTGTAATAATGATACAACATCTGTAATTGTTTTCAGGGTAATTTATCTCGGATGCACAATATTTTCTTCCACGGTAACACACTTCAATTTGTTGCATCGCCTTTGATACATGTGTGTATCCTATGATTGGTTTTCCTTCAACAAGGAGAGAAACTAATGTACTGTAGTAGCCAATATCTAATTCAATAGCATCATGCTGTATTCTGGGTAATTAAAAAAAGACAGGAATACCATCAATACTCATATGATTATTTAAGTTCTATTTTGTCCGTTTCGTCCATTTCTTCAAGAAACTGCTCCCACAATTTAGGGAACTGTGGTCGGATGCAAGAGCGTTCCAAACTATTATGCCGATCTTTGTCGTCTACCCAATGCAGAAAACTTCCAGAGAGTTTCTAAAATAAAAAAGAAAAAAAAAGAAAGAAAACTTTAAGCAATCACTTAATTTTTACTAATATATACATATGCAAATAAATGTTTATATTTATATTTATTTATTTTATATTTATTTGACAGTGATTATGTATGAGTGAGGTGAAAGTGTTGAATGATGATGAAAGTATTTTCTTTCTGGGGATTTTGAATATATTTTGACATATATTAGAAACACACTTGGACAATATTTTGATGAAAAAGAGTCATTGAAAACCGAATTCAACGAAAACCAGGGCAAACGAAAACCGAGGTTCCACTGTACATGCATGTGTAGTGTGATCTAAGTGCAAGAAGTAGAAAGACACCTCAAATCTTGCATGTTTATGAGACAGAAAAAAAGACACTAGCAATCCTACCATCATGTAAAACAATTACAGGTTTCTGTTTCACACTCACTTGGCAGGATGGTAGTACCTCCCTGGGTGGTTGCTGTCTACCAGCCTACTACCTAGGCCCTCATAAAATATCTTTGTATAAAGCTTTCCTTTTATTTTGAGAAAAAAATAATGCATTTCTAATAATTAATAGTGTTTGTTGAATACAGTAACACATAATTAGTCTACTAAATTTTATAGTGAAATGTAAAAATCTTAACATTTGCATATTGTATAAGATTTTTTTAAATTTCTCAATTATGATGAATCAAGGATATGCATCATTAATAGCAAAATAAGTTGCAAAAATTTAATTGGAATTTACCACAATCATAAATGGCAACGACTTACTGTACTTCCATTGGCTAAACAGCTGATATTTTATTTGAGTTACTGTCAGTGTCAAGACAATTATATAAACTTTTTAGTCTTAAACAGCAACCACCCAGAAGGGTACCACCTTCCTGCCAAGTGAGTATGAAATAGAAAACTGTAATTGTTTTACATGATGGTAGGATTGCTGGTGTCTTTCCTGTCTCATAAACATGCAAGATATCAGGTACAGCTTGCTACTTCTACTTACACTTAGGTCACATTGTATATGCATGTACATGTACATGCATATATATTTACACACCTATCTGGGTTTTCTTCTATTTTCTTATTAGTTCTTGTACTTATATATTTCCTATTAACTCCAAGGGGTAGTGGAGAAGAATTCTTCTGTAAGTCATGCATGTCGTAGGTGGCGGCTAAAATGCCTGGACCAAGGGGCTAGTAACCCCTTCTGTATAAATTACTAAATTTAAAAAGGAAAACTTTTATTTATCTTTTAGGTCACCCTGCCTCAGTGGGATATGGCCGGTTCATTTAAAAAAAAAAATAGCCTTAAAAACTGACTTCTTTTCTAAATAATTTTAGTTAGTCAGTGCTAATGTCTCTAGTGTCATGACTACAGTATTAAATATATAGAGAAAAAATAAAATTTAATTATAAGTTCATAAAATTTATCATCAATGAGCTCATAGCAAGAATAAAAAATAATGTTTAAGAACAATTTTTTTAGTTAAAATATTATACTCACCAATATTTACAAGAAATTAAAAATTATCTTACTTTCCAGCTTTGTAAATATGCATCCGAAAATTTTAACCATTTTTGTATCTCCAGGAAACGTTTATGGGTTAGATGAATATAATCCTTCAATTTCCAGTCACTTTTCTTCTTGGCAACTGTGAAACTAAACACAGTTTTTTCTCGTAATGCTCTGAGAATAATGTACCAGGTCGACTTGACTTTTGCCAATCCAATTGTATCATTATTTGTGTTTAGAAAATACAACACTTCTCCCTCAATGTCGGTTTTCTCTCGAATCTGTGAAGGAAATGATCATTACAGAGTTGCAATTATAAATTAACCAAACATTAAAGACTCATACATAAACAAAACCAAACAATACCACACTTGCATCTTGGCAAAAGCTAATAAATAATTTATGGAACACCATAAAAATTCCTTTAACAAATGACATTAAAAAATCTAATACAGTATGTATGTCTTATCATTAAACTTACCTCTTTTCTACGTACTAAAACTTCTTGAGGGTTTATGATCTTGTACCCGGTAAACGATAACCCTAGATGTCCAGACAGTTCCAGGCCGTGGTGAGGCGGCAACGCAGTGAGGCTCGTTTCTTTATCAGTAGTGGCAATAGATGTAAATGCAATTAAACTGATTTTAGGTTCTCTAAGTTCACTAAGGTTAACTATGTGTTGATTTTCAGGCTGAAGAATTTCACAAAATGCTGTACATTTTGTATGATGAAGGAAATTAAATAAGAGATGGCGCTTATCATCATCTAAGTTTTTCAGGGTATTGCAGACAGTTTTTGCCACAACCTGCAAAAAATTCTCAACTTCAATCGAGTGCATTAACATAGAGTTACAATACACATATGTATGTAATTATCTATTTGTAAGTTTTTTCAACAAGTCGGCCATCTCCCACCGAGGCAGGGTGACCAAAAAAAATAGAAAATCCCCAAAAAGAAAATACTTTCATCATCATTCAACACTTTCACCTCACTCACACATAATCACTGTCTTTGCAGAGGTGCCCAGATACAACAGTTTAGAAGCATATAAAACATACCCCTCCAAACTGCCAATATCCGAAACCCCTCCTTTAAAGTGCAGGCATTGTACTTCCCATTTCCAGCACTCAATTCCAGCTATATAAAAATAACTGGTTTCCCTGAATCCCTTCACTAAATATTGCCCTGCTCATATTCCAACAGCTCGTCAGGTCCCAAAAACCATTCGTCTCTATTCACTCCTATCTAACACGCTTACACATGCTTGCTGGAAGTCCAAGCCCCTTGCCCACAAAACCTCCTTTACCCCCTCCCTCCAACCTTTCCGAGGACGGCCCCTACCCCGCCTTCCTTCCCCTACAGATTTATACGTTCTCCAAGTCATTCTACTTTGATCCATTCTCTCTATATGACCAAACCACCTCAACAACCCCTCTTCAGCCAGCCCTCTGAATTCTCTGCATAATATTTACACCACACATTGCCCTTAGACAGGACATCTCCACTGCCTCCAGCCGCCTCCTCGCTGCAACATTTGCAACCCAAGCTTCACAACCATATAAGTGTGTTGGTACGACTATACTATTGTACATTCCCTTCTTTGCCTCCATGGATAACGTTTTTTTGTCTCCACAGACACCTCAATGCACCACTCACCCTTTTTTCTTCATCAATTCTATGGTTAACCTCATCCTTCATAAACCCATCTGCTGACAAGTCAACTCCCAAATATCTGAAAACATTCACTTCCATACTCCCTCTCTCCAATATGACATCCAATTTTTCTTTATCTAAATCATTTGATACCCTCATCACCTTACTCTTATCTATGTTCACTTTCAACTTTCTACCTTTACACACACTCCCAAACTCTTCCACTAATCTTTGCAACTTTTCTTTAGAATCTCCCATTAGCACAGTATCATCAGCAAAATATAACTGTGTCAACTCCCATTTTGTATTTGATTCCCAATGATTTAATTATAGTAGTAATTTGTAAGTTACAGGAATAGAGATTATGCTTATGATGTCATGTCTTCTATAATACATTTTATAAGATTTTAAAGAACTATTGCTTCTTCTCTGATACCATTGCAACTATTAGTTATTCTCTTTGTGAAGAAATATTCATAATAATAATACTGTACCGGTACCATCATTACTACAGTTAGAGGTACAGTGGTACCTTGACTTACGAGTTTAATTCATTCCGTGACCGAGCTCATAACTCAATTTGCTCGTATATCAAATAAATTTCTCTCATTGAAATTAATTGAAATGCCATTAATCTGTTCCAGCACCCAAAAAACCACCCCAATTTTTTTTTGTTACAGGTTTTTAAATAAAAATGTATTTATAAATAAGAAATACGTATTTTTTTTTATTAAAAAAAATACGTATTGTATAAAAACCTAATAAAAGTGAATGTAATGAAATAAACTGGTTTTATAAAGTGTATTTACCTTGGAGATCAGACATTTGCTTACATTGGAGGAAGTCCTGAGTCTCAAGGGGCAGGAGAAAATACTTCATTATAATGCTAATATCAACTCTACTGCTTATTTATCTATCAGGATTGATCTAATATGACATAATAAACACTCTAAGTAACATAGAAACATGATATATACTCTAGAATGAATAAAATAGGATATAATATGGCAAGTGTCCAGGACCAGTCCAAGCATATAAAATCATTACTGCTCCTTCCTATAACATGTTCTTTGGTCCTGGGTAAGAGAAAACAGAGTTTTTGAAAGGCTAACTGCACTAGAGGCCGGCCTGTGTTCCCGGTGAATATTAAAGAAGTAAGTTATTTACTTATTTCATGAAGCCCACCATTTATTATTGAAGTAAATGCAAAAATATTGACAGGAATCATAAAAAAATGATTGTTCTATAAGTGGCTTGTGGAATATTGGAAATATTCCAAATATTTTGGGATTTTTGTGGGAGTAAAGGGCAAGATATTTTGCAAATCTTAAAAACTTAGCAACTTTATTTTTTTGTAGAATATCTGAAGCTTGCTCATAACTCGGATTTTGGCTTGCAACTCAAAGCAAAAAATCAACCAAGCGACGGCTTATAAATCAGAAAACTTGTAAGTTGGGGCACTCGTAAGTGAAGGTACCACTGTATACAGAAAACAATGATGTTCTCTACAGAAAGTAAAAAAAAAGCCATGGACAGTTGCCAGATACAGTACTGCCAACTCTTCGTTCAATACTGTACCAGTACCAGAAGAAACACCCTGTTTTATCTTTCTTCAAACCCACAGGAGAGAAATAGAAAGGGATAACAGAGCCAATCCCATATACGTATAAGAAATCTTCCCTACAAAGATAGGTTAAAAAGCACCAAACATACATTCTCTAGCAAGACAGAATTTGGGGTGATATTGCTGAAGTGTCTAAATTACATGTAGTATTACCTTTGATGAGCTCCGAGTATCTTTCTACTCCCAGAGCCCAGCCATAGGCCAGGCTCATCTGGTGCTAGCCTGATCAACCAGACTGTTGCTGCTGCTGGCCTGCTGCCCCACACATCCAACACAGCCTGGTTGATCTGGCACCTAGTGAAGATACTTCTCCAATTTCCTCTTGAAGACTACACTTGTTCTACACTGATATCTTCTGTTAAGATACTGAATAATCTGGGGCCATGGATGTTGATACAGTGTTTCCTTATTGTCCCCACCACACCCCTGCTTTTCACTGGGTTTATTTTGCACTTCCTCCCATATCTCTCGTTCCAGTATGTTAGGGCAGTATGTAGATTTGGGACAAGGCCTTCGAGTACTTTCCATGTAAGTGTATATGATATTATGCCTCTCTCTCTCTCTCTCCTCCACTCCAGTGAGTATTTATTCAAGACTTTAAGGCATTCCCAGTAATTTAAATTCTTTACTGGCTCTATGCAGGCTGCAAACGATCTCTGTATTTTCTCCAGCTCTGATATTTCTCCTACCCTGAACGGGGCCATCAACACTGAGCAATATTCCAAATGAGAGGACACTAGCGATTTGAAAAGTGTTACAACTGACATTATTTCCTTTGTTTTGAAGGTTCTCAATACCCATCCCATCATTCTCCTGGCTATCATGACCTTTGTCTTATTATGTTCTTTGAAAGGAAGGTCAGCTGACATAATTATTCCCAAGTCTTCACGTATTCCTTTCGTTCTATTTGATGATCCTCTTGAGTTTTGTATACATTGTTCTTTTTGAGTTCTTCATTCTTTCCATAGCTAAGCAGCTGGAACTTATCACCACTGAAGGTCATGTTGTTCTCCACTTTCCACTGGAAAACACTGCTTATATCTTCCTGTAATTTTTCAGTGTCTTCTACCAAAGTGATTTTCATGCTTATTTTAGTGTCATCTGCAAATGATGATACAAAACTGTGATGGGTGTTTTTATCTGTCTGTTATGAGAATAAGAAACAGCAGAGGTGCCAGGACAGTGCCTTGGGGAACTGGGGAAGCACTAAACTCATAAGATTCATACAGCAACTGAGGAACGAGAGATATGAGCGAATCAGGTTTATCTGAAGAAAGGGAGGGGTTAACTCCAATTCCTTGAACCATAAGCCCTTCACCAGCATCAAGGCACCCTCTTCCCCCTCCTTGAAGAGATGATTTTCCAGAGAATACCAAACATTCTCATGATGAATGCTACAGATTCCATTCATCAAGTTATAGTATGAACTCTGCAAGAAAAATCTAAATGGCTGACAATTTTAAAGAAGAAAATAATACTTCCTCACTTTGAACACTGACCTGAGCTACACCATATCTAGATCCATGATACCGGTCTATATCTGTGCAGTCTCTGATCAGCATGTGAACATTCTTGCTTCCAGTAATGAGGTAAAAATTATTATCTATATATCTGAAATACAGACAGAAATTATACGTATATCAATATGTATATCAATTTACTTATTTATTTATTATTATTTGGACATGATACATAGTTGTACAAACAAATACAGTGGTTGAGTGTACATGCCAAAAGCCCTTTGTATGCAAAGCATTATGGGCAGGCTTAAAATTAACTTAAGATTAACTAAGCAATGATATATTCAGTGGTAAAAATTACAGTAAACAAATTACAACATGAAGTACAAATGAGTATTTCAAATAAGAAGCTTTATAGTTCTACAAATTTGTAGCATAATAATTTATAAGAAAGTTGAAAGTGAACATAGATAAGAGTAAGGTGATGAGGGCATCAAATGAGTTAAATAAAGAAAAATTGGATATCACATTGGAGGGAGGGAGTATGGAAGAAGTGAATGTGTTCAGATATTTCGGAGTAGACTTGTCAGTCGATGGGCTTACGAATGATGAGATTAACCACAGAACAGATGCAGGAAAAAAGCGTGAGTGGTGCATTGAGGTGTCAGTGGAGACAAAAAAGCGTTATCCATGGAGGCAAAGAAGGGAATGTACGAGAGTACAGTGATACCTACACTCTCATATGGGTGTGAAGCATGGGTTATGAATGCTGTAACAAGGAGGAGGCTGGAGGCAGTGGAGATGTCATGTCTAAGAGTAATGTGTGGTGTAAATATTATGCAAAGAATTTGTAGTGTGGAAATTAGGAGGAGGTGTGGAGTTACAAAAAGTATTATTCAGTGGTACTTCTTGCTGTACATGTCATTCCAATTTCTTTTTCTCAATTTATTGTTATAACCTGTTCACTTTTAGCCCTAGCCATGGTTCCAACGAATAAAAGAAATGCTTCACATTGTGTATAGGACATACACCGTACATTGTCCATAAAAGATAAGGTGGCTTTGAAGCAACTGTCGGATGCTATGAGCTCAGCTCACTCAAATAAGCTGTGACTGGTAAATTTGGGCCTACATATGAAAGAATAGGTCTGTGTGGTTAAGTGTGCACTATATAAAAAAAATCCTGCAGCAAGTAGTGCATAATAAGAAAAAAACTGCGACCGTGTTTTTCGTGTAAAACAGCAACTTTGCAGTGTATTTTTGTATGGTTTTCATGGTTGTATTCTCATTTTCTTGGTCTCATTTGATAGAATGCAAGATATATTACAGAAATATACATGATTTTGATTGGCTTCACAAAGTACCCTGAAACCGAGATCAAAGCAGCAGAAATGTTTGATTTTTGATCATGTTCGAGAGTAAACACCGTCCAATACGTGTCCAACTGTCCAGTCTAATACACAGTCACAAATGGGTTGATATTATTTATACAATTACAGTGGACCCTCATAATTAATCCGTTTTCCAGAGAGTGTGACTATTATCGATATTGACGATTTGCGAGTCCATTTTCCCATAAGAAATAATGTAAATCCAATTAATTCGTTCAAGACGTCCAGAAATATCAAAAAAAAAAAAAAAATTTTACCTTAAAGATAGAGTTACATGCACAAAAGAAAGAACATTCAACATGACAGTTACCTTCATTGAAGGCTGTTTTTGATGAGTGGAAGACAGGGAGGAGGAGAGAGGGAAGAGAGGTTATTGTTTGGAAGGAGAATCCCCCTCCATAAGGACTCTAGGTCACTTCAGGGGTCACTTCCCTAGCTTAAATATAGATTTACATGCAGAAAAGAGGTGGGATACGGCTGGTTTGTTGAAAAAAAAAATGCAGAAAAGATTGCCAAATAAATGTAAAGCACTAATAAAATGTATAAATGAACATTTAACATCACACTTACCTTTATTGAAGACAATTCTTGGTGTATGGCAGACGGGGCAGAGGGAGGGGAGGCAAGTTTATTGTTGGAGAATATGACACAAATATCAACTCTACGGCTTATTTATCTATCACAATTCAACTAATATGACATATTAAACAATATCAATAACATAGAAACATGGAATATATTCTAGACCGAATAAAATAAGTCATTATGTATGAAACAAGAGTAAGCCGTCCATAATGGTGGTGAAGCAGCAGCTGAGGTGGCAGTGTTTTCTGCAGCCCTATATAACTCCAACAACATTGGAGGAGTTAGTAGAATCACTGAATCACTGAAGAAGGCACCATCTACCACCAACACTACACCTTACCACATACAACCACTCTACCCACCATCACAACCACTACCACCCTCTACCACCATCACAACCACTACCACCCTCTACCATCACAACCACTACCACCCTCTACCACCATCACAACCACTACCACCCTCTACCACCATCACAACCACTACCACCCTCTACCACCATCACAACCACTACCACCCTCTACCACCATCACAACCACTACCACCCTCTACCATCACAACCACTACCACCCTCTACCACCATCACAACCACTACCACCCTCTACCACCATCACAACCACTACCACCCTCTACCACCATCACAACCACTACCACCCTCTACCACCATCACAACCACTACCACCTCTACCATCACAACCACTACCACCCTCTACCACCATCACAACCACTACCACCCTCTACCACCATCACAACCACTACCACCCTCTACCACCATCACTACCACCCTCTACCACCATCACTACCACCCTCTGCCACCATCACTACCACCCTCTACCACTATCACAACTGCTAGCACCCTCTACCACTATCACTTCCATCCTCTACCACTATCACTTCCATCCTCTACCACTATCACAACTACTGCCATCACTACCATCTTCTACCACCATCACTACCACCCTTTACCACTATCACAACTGCCACCACCTTCTACCACTATCACTACCACCCTCTACCACCATCACTACCACCCTCTACCACTATCACAACTGCTACCACTCTACCGGCACCACTTTTGTATTTTTCTACAAACTTTTTCTTAAATTATGTGTTTGTCAAATTCTTTACCAAAGGGCTGGCACTATAAGCTTTCTTTGGAGCCATAGTGACTTATTTAGCAGTTGCAAGCACTAAAATGAATGGAATATTATGAAATGTATCACATGAACTCGTGAAATCATCCTCACTCAATGATAAACAATGGCACACTGGCTGGGAATGGAGTGTGAGGCAGCTCAGGGCTATGTGTACGTGTCCCAGACGAACGACTATTTGTGAGTCAAACGACGATTTGCGAGTCAATGTTTTGATGAAAAAAAATTACGATTTCCGAAAATTACGACTTTCGAGCCTTATGAAAAATGAGGGTCCACCGTATTACAATAATGCAGTAGTCTGTGTAACAGTAAATCTTCTATTTTTTGTGTGAATAAAAATTCAAAATGGAAAGCAAGTGTTATATTAGAGGGGCCTGGAGACATGACTAATTAAGAGAAAATGTTGTTTCAGTGCCAGGAATGTCTGCATTGTTCATTCTGGACCCTATTTTGAAATTGGTATCCCTGGATATTTGTGAAAAACTGGCCAAATTACTGATTTCTAACAAGTTTATTGGGTAGTTGAAATAGGTAAATGGGCAGTTTCTTGTACTCAAATGACAGAATAGGTGGAATACTAGCGAAATAGCTCAGTTTCTTAGACTGGAACAATAGAATGGGTCAAAAATAGGGCGTAATGTGGACGAAATCAACAATGAGTGAATATTGCCACTGGGTTAAGTGTATTCTAACCTAACTACTCTCTAGTCTGACAAAATCAGTAATCCGGCGCCCTACAGGTCCCAACGTCAGATTAGTGATGGTCAATCTGTATTTTGTGAAGGTATTCAGGGAAACCGGTTAACCGGACTTGAGTCTTGGAGGTGGGAAGTACAGTGCCTGCACTTTAAAGAAGGGGTTTGGGATATTGGCTACTTTGAGTGACATCTAAATTGTCATATCTGGGCACCTCTGGAAAGATAGTGGTTATGTGTGAATGATGGTGAAAGTGTTCTTTCTTTTTTTGGTCACCCTGCCTCGGTGGGAGACGGCCGACATGCTGAAAAAAAAAATGAACATGTACACCTACCATCTGACTTATGACCGAGTTCGGTTCCGAGAAACCGGTCGTAAGTCAAAATGGTCGTAAGTCGAACTTTACTACTGAATATCAACAAAACATTTTTGTAATGACTTTATTTTATTGTTTTATTTTGGTATTTCATGTTTTACTTTACTTTTTATGCTGTTTGTACTGTATTTTATACTGTAAGGTTTAGGATAAATACTGTGTACAACACAAATAGTTGTCTATTTCCCAGAAATTTGGCATAAAAAACACGGTCGTAAGTCGAGTGGTCGTAAGTCGAGCAGGTCATAAGTCAGATGGTAGGTGTATTTCTTTTAACACACTGGCCATCTCCCACCGAAGCAGAGTGATCTAAAAAAGAAGAAACACATTTCACCATCATTCATTTTATCACTGTCTTGCTAGAAACAAGCAGATGCTACAGTTTAGATACCCCTTCAAACTACAAATATCCCCACCCCTCCCTTAGAGTGCAGGCACTGTACAGTGGACCCCCGCATAACGATTACCTCCGAATGCGACCAATTATGTAAGTGTATTTATGTAAGTGCGTTTGTACGTGTATGTTTGGGGGTCTGAAATGGACTAATCTACTTCACAATATTTCTTATGGGAACAAATTCGGTCAGTACTGGCACCTGAACATACTTCTGGAGTGAAAAAATATCGTTAACCGGGGGTCCACTGTACTTCCACCTCCAGGAGTCAAGTCCAGCTAATCAGTTTACCTGAATCCCTTCACAAAATATTACCTTGCTCACACTCCAACAGCTCGTCAAATCCTAAAAACAACTTGCCTCCACTCCCATCTAACATGATCACACATGTGTGGCATGCAAAGAGTACGTAGCCTTTATTCGGCGCATGTACACACCCTCGTTAAAAGGCTATCTCCCCCAACCAGCGAACCAGGTACTAGGGTTGATGATGGGGCCCCGTCGTTCAATCAGTACCCAGGTTCCAGCCAATGAGAAGATGGTTTTGGCAATCGCAAAGGTGTTGTGGGAACCACTCACCTGTCTGCACTTGTCATTCCCAATCTAGAGCTGGTTGAAGCACAGTCTGCTCTCTAGTGGTTTCTATTCTGCCTTGCTTACCGTGGAGTGCACTAATACCTATTGTTGTACATAGTGTATATATTGTACATACTTCTGTTCTAAATTGGTGAAGGATAATACAAGTCAAAAGCTTTTCTGCTGTGTTTATTTTGCTCTCTTTACACCCAGGATAACAGGCCTTGGGACTCCTGGGTTGTAATAACATGCCTGCTTGATGTCCAAGCTCCTTGCACACAAAACTGCCTTTATCCCCTCCCTCCAACCTTTCCTAGGGCAACTCCTACCCCTCCTGCCTTTCACTACAGACTGATATATCGTCCAAGTCATCCTTTTTTTCTCCATCCTCTTTAAATGTGCAAACCACTTTAATAATTTTTCCTCAGCCCTCCAGATAATGCTTTTAGTAACCCTGTCTCCTTATAATCTCCAAACTATGCATTCTATGCATAATATTCACACCACACAATGCCCTCAGAAACGACAGGTCCACTGCCTCCAGCCTCATCCTTGCTACATGTTTAAAACCCATGCTTCACACCCATATAAGTGTGATGGTACCACTATATTCAGATACATTCCCTTCTTGCCTCCATAGATGATGATGTCTATCTCCACAGATGCCCCAGTGCACCACCCACCTTTTTTTACCCTCTCGACAATTCTATGGTTTACCTAATCTTTCATAGACCTGTTTGCCAAGAAGTCCACTCCCAAATATCTGAACACATTCACTTCCTCCTTACTCCATCATAAATACTCTAATGTGATTATAATGTTTAAGAATGTACTTTAATAAGATCAATGTATTATCCACTGTACACAAAGAACCGGTATGCATACCTTCCACTGAAATGAGCTGCTTCTCCATTGAGTTTTTCCATGCAGATCACACTGTTAGCAGTGTCTGGATCCTCAAGACAGTAATCACGCCATTCCTCACCATCTTCTGGTTGACATTCATCTTCATCACCAATGCCACCGATAAACTTCTTGTTAGCATAAATGACAACATCAAACCATTCAACATCACCCTTTAGATGCATTATTGTGGTACCACGAGGAATCTGAGGAGATAGTATTACTCTACTTATTCTTCATTCACTTCAAACTTACTTATAAACTAACATTAGACTCCTTGAATAATGCAACCCTGATACCATTAATGAAGCAGCATATGATTAAAAACCTGTGTCATGCCCTTCAATTTGCATGAGTTCGTACTTTCCCTATACACATGCAATAACCATTATGGGCCTGTAGCTGCTTCATGGTAGAAAATTTTCTGTTCATGCCAGCAAGATTGGTCATTTTTTATGGGGAAGGATTTGCATACTTCTTGTTGTCAGCCTACCCATGCTGTCTTGGTTCTAGAAAATATCATCACCCCAGGCAGCCAAGAAGAATACTAGTGATAATTTCTAAGGAATTGAATATAAAAGAATTTTTGTGTCACTTTTAGCCCATTTTAATTAAAAAATTATGTACGTGTATAGCAAATGGTATGTATGAGTAGCATCAGATGATCACCAGCCAATGGAAATTCTTGCATTTCAGTATGGTCCTAACCTGTATTTCAGTCAACCCTAGACCTGTGATTTAGTTTTCAACTGACCTGTTTTTTCGCTTTTGTGTCTGATGGGGTTTTCAGTTTGCTCTTGACTTGTTTTGCAGTTTGCTCAAGAAAGTTTGTGGCCCACTAAAGCCACCTGAACGCTATTACCACTTTTCTATAGCAACAAGCAGGATAAAAAAGTAATTAACCCTTTAGGGGTCGACAGGTCCTCTCAGAGACTTGTTCTCAGGGTCGGCCAAATTTAAAAAAAGAAAAAATTATTTTTTCTTACGAAAAGATAGAGAATCTTTTCCCGATCATAATGACACCAAAAGTATGAAATTTGATGGAAAACTTATGGAAATATGCTCTCGCAAAGTTAGCAGTCTCGAAGATGTTTACGCATTGGCGATTTTGCCCACTTTGAGCCCTATTTTCGGCCAATTCCAGTGTACTAGTCGACAAAAATCATAACTATTTCGCTAGAACTCCATTTTTTCTATCGAATGAGTACAAGAAACCACCCATTTACCGATTTCAACTATCCAATACAGTGGTCAGAATATAGCAATTTTGCTAATTTCACACAAATTTCAAAAGATGCCAATTTCCAAATAGAGTCCAGAATAAACAAGAAAGACATTCTTGGCACTAAAATAACATTTCCTCTGTTCATTAGTCATGTTCCCACGCCCTTCTTACATTCTTTTGCTTTCCACTTTGAATTTTTATTCTCACAAAAAAATAGAAGATTTACTGTTATGCAGACTACTGCATTAGTGTAGAAATGGATATATATAATATCAGCGCACTTGTGAAAGTATATTAGACTCACCAGCTGACGTGTATTGGACGTTTGGCATGATTTGTTTACTTTTGATCTTTGGTAAAAATCAAACATTTCTGCTACTTTGAGCTCAATTTCAAGGTACTTTTCATTGTAAAATCAGTCAAAATCATCTCAATTTCTGTAATATGTTTTCCATTCTATAAAATGAAACCAGGAAAACTAGAATACAACAATAAATACCATACGAAAATACAGTGTAAAGTCGCTGTTTTAATCTAAAAACACGGTCAAAGCTTTTTTTTTCTCATTACGCACTGTGTGCTGCAGGATTTTTTTTATACTGCGCACACTGACCACATAGGCCCATTCTTTCATATGTAGGCCTACCAGCTTTCTCTCACTAGATCTGACGGGGCTAGAATTTATGCGTATTAGTACGTCAAAAAACCCTGCGCGTAAGCCATACTAGTACATCCAAAAACCCCAAAGGGTTAATGGTAAGATGAAATTCTTTCTTGTTACCTTTTATGTTGCCTTAGAAATCTAGAGTTGAAAAAAATAAGAGTTGATTGCATGGCACCCCAGGCCATTACCCAGCAGTTGTGTATCATGAGGATAAAAGCCCAAAGAACAAAAAGGCACAATACCATGCTGGGAGAATACACAAATAACCAGCACATAGGAGAAAAGGCTCACAATGATGTTTTGGTCCGACTTGGACCATTTACAAAGTCACACATTTTCTTTGTAAGAGATGCCTTACTTATTTTCTGTGCATGGAATACATATTGATGTTGTGTGTTTTGCAATATTAGATGGTATGGGAATTCAAACATGCTGTAGCTGATAAAGACAAAAGTAGAGAATGGAAACTGTATGAAGACAATGCTTCCAACTGCTGCTTGTGTCTATATCAACTACAACTTGTTTGTACTCCAAAACCATCTGTTATTACAATATACACAAACTGAGTCAGTTTTTCCAGGCTAGTGGTGGTATAAGTGACTATTCACATATAGTACATGGTGGTAATGTGGCTTATTTACCAAAGTTTAGGACAGGTGATGGCCAATGATGCTTAAAATGGTATTACACAAGGAGGTGGAGGGGCAGGGGATTAATCAGGCATGAGAAAGTTCCATATGTAGTGGGTTCGGAACCTAAATATTAAAAGAATAGGGTGATCCTGACAACAAATGAAGAAAAAAAATTACTACAAGAAATGAGCTTCACATAAAATGCATTATCATCTTACCCATTTACGAATGTCAGGATTTTTACTATAAATGTGATCATCTGGGCCCCGAGACAGGACCCTGATGTCTTCAAGTGTTGCACTGTACCCATCTTGCAAGATTCCTGCAGGAACCTCAACCTCCACTACCTGAAGTTTCTTCATCTCTCTCTTTGACTTTGCAAATTTATATAACCTGTGGAAGAATTTAATTAAATAGTTTTAAAATGTGCTGCAGAGCATATACTGAGCACTGCAAATATATATACAGTTGGGCCCTGGATTTCAGCCTTTCCAGAAGGTTGGTAGGGGATGTGTAGATCAAGTGTTTACACTGAAGCATATATGTGAACAGTATTTAGATAAAGGTAGGGAAGCAGTTTTCATTGCATTTATGGAATTAGAAAAGGCATATGATAGAGTGGATAGGGGAGCAATGTGGCAGATGTTGCAAGTATGTGGAATAGGTAGTAAGTTACTAAATGCTGTTAAAAGTTTTTATGATAGTGAGGCTCAGGTTAGGGTGTGTAGAAGAAAGGGAGACTACTTCATGGTAAAGGTGGGGTCTTAGACAGGGATGTATAATATCACCATGGTTGTTTAATATATTTATAGATGGGGTTGTAAAAGAAGTAAATGTTGGGTGTTGGGGAGAGGGGTGGGATTAAATTATGGGGTATCAAATACAAAATGGGAATTGACACAGTTACCTTTTGCTGATGATACTGTGCTTATGTGAGATTCTAAAGAAAAGTTGCAAAGGTTAGTGGACAAGTTTGGGAGAGTGTTTAAAGGCAGAAAGTTGAAAGTGAACATAGAAAAGAGTAAGGTGATGAGGGTATCAAATGATTTAGATAAAGAAAAATTGGATATTAAATTGGAGGAGGAGGAGTATGCAAAAAGTGAATGTTTTCAAATATTTGGGAGTTGACCTGTCAGCGGATGGGTGTATGACGGATGAGGTTAACCACAAATTGATGAAGGAGAAAAGGCAAGTGGTGCATTGAGGTATATGTGGAGACAAAAAACATTATCTATGGAGGCAAAAAAGGGAATGTATGAAACTATAGTGGTACTAACACTCTTACATGGGTGTGAAGCTTGGGTTGTAAATGCAGCAGCGAAGAGGTGGTTAGAGGCAGTGGAGATGCCCTGTCTAAGGGCAATGTGTGGTGTAAATATTATGCAGAGAACTTGGAGTGTGGAAATTAGGAGAAGGTGTGGAGTTAATAAAAGTATTAGTCAGAGGGCTGAAGAGGGGTTGTTGAGGTGGTTTGGTCATTTAGAGAGAATGAATCAAAGTAGAATGACATGGAAAGTGTATAAATCTGTAGGGGAAGGAAGGCGGGGTAGGGGTCGTCCTCAAAAAGGTTGGAGGGAGGGGGGTAAAAGAGGTTTCGTGGGCGAGGGGCTTGGACTTACAGCAAGCATGCATGAGCGTATTAGATAGGAGTGAATGGAGACAAATGGTATTTGGGACCTGACGAGCTGTTGGAGTGTGAGCAGGGTAATATTTAGTGAAGGGATTCAGGGAAACCGGTTATTTTTATATAGCTGGACTTGAGTACTGGAAATGGGAAGTACAATGCCTGCACTTTAAACGAGGAGTTTGGGATATTGGCAGTTTGGAGGGATATGTTGTGTATCTTTATACATATATGCTGTTGTATTCTGAGCACCTCTGCAAAAACAGTGATTATGTGTGAGTGAGGTGAAAGTGTTGAATGATGATGAAAGTATTTTCTTTTTGGGGATTTTCTTTCTTTTTTGCGTCACCCTGCCTCAAAGGGCGATGGCCGACTTGAAAAAAAAATATATATATATATAATATACACACATACATACATATACAGGTCCGCCATCACAAATCAGGCAATCAGACATCTGGTTCCATCAGTTATTCGGCACTAATTTTGGCTAGCATAATTTCAAAATTCCAGGATTGCCACACCAACCTGCTGGTACTGTTTGGTGGTGCTACTTGCTGCATAAGTTATTCCAATTACTTTTTCTCCATTTATTGTTATAACCTGCTTACTTTTAGCCTTAGCCATGGTTCCAACAAACAAAAAAAATAGTTCTTGTGTAAAGCACATACACAGTACATTGTCCATAAAGGATAAGGTGGGTTTGAAGCCACTGTCGGTTGCCATGATCTCAGTCTCGTGATGCAGGGGAATATGCTTTATTATTATGCTAATATCAACACTATGGCTTATTTGCCTATCACAGTTGGTCTAATATGACATAATAAACAATATAACGTAAATATTTTAATGCAATTATTGAACAACATATATTTGACATAAGTATTATACTTATGTCAAATATGTGTTATTCAACATACAATATGTTTCCTGTTGTATAATTAGTGCAACCTGATCAAACTATGTTTTGTATGTCTAGTGTTAAGTAATCAGTAATCTGTTAAGTTTAGACTGCCTGTAATGCCAAGGCATGACAGTAGCTCTCTTTGCACTACAAATCATTGTAAACCCTCACTGTAAACTATCTATGTATATAAACTTCCTACAACTGTCAACCACATCATAAACTTGCAACGAAATAAAAAATTCTAATTCTAATAAATAACGTAAAAACATACTAAATACTCCAGAATGATTAATATTTGGCATAATACCGTGCGGTTCAGTGGAGGTATGAAGAGGATATGGGATACAAGTACCATTCTCCTATCCATGTCTTGGGGGCTTATATTAGAGAAAACAGAGTGTAGCACAGGGCTGTGATATACACTTATAGTGCATCATAAACCTGAAACAAAAAAGATATTTTCTCTACATATATTATCATACATAGCAGCATGTGTGTAGAGAACCTAGGATAAGCCAAAAAAGTCAGACAAAGTGACTTGTTTCTAGTACCTAGCTTGGCTTGCTATATATGATTTTTTGTGAATATTTTTTTTCTCAGTTGTTTGTTGGGCTATCTTACTGAAACTTGGGCAATGTATGATGGAAAGATGCTTCTTAACGTCCACCAAAAATGAAAAAAAGTCGGACAATAAATAATGGAGTTCACTTCTCAACCATTAGCTGCCCCTTAGCAGTATATTTTCATGTGGTTTTTATGGTTGTATTCTCGTTTTTATGGTTTCGTTTGATAGAATGGAAGATATATTACAGAAATAGATATGATTTTGATTGCTTTCACGATGAAAAGTACCTTGAAATTGAGCTCAAAGTAGCAGAAATGTTCGATTTTTGCTGATGTTCAATGAGCTTTCTTGTGTAAGTCAAATTGGTTAACTTTATTAAGTGTATTCTAACCTAACCACTCTGTAATCCAGCAAACTCAATAATCTGGCGCACGGAGGGGCTCGGTTTGATTGATGTCATTGGGTACGGGAGGATATTCTTGGGAAGCTTTGGGTACGGGTCGTTTTGATAAGGACCTGCCTTGTATGGGCCAGTGGGCCTTCTGCAGTGTTCCTCCATTCTTATGTTCTTATGTACTACAGGTCCCAATGATGCCGGATTTGTGATGGCGGACCTGTATATAGAAGCACATGACGTAAGTCTCTTTACCAAGAATCATGAAATCACTTCGTTACTTGATACACTGTACAATTTCTACTAAACCACAAGCTATTCAACTCTCTAATGAACCCAGCACATGATAAATAAATGTTGGGATTAACTGCATAGCCTTGTAATAAAGCAAGCCTCTATCCTCATTTATTTCAGATAATCAGGTAAGTATATGGAGTCTTTACTGATAAGTAAGACACACATTTAATTCTAAGTATCTTTGTTAACAAAATGTTTCACCTACTATGAAAGCTTCATCAGTTGCAAAGATGAACTGCAGTACTTCCACCCAAGATTTATACACCCCCTTTGTCATCCTATCCCTCTCCATTCTCTCTACATGGCCAAACCACCTCAACAACCCCTCCTCAACCCTCTGAATTATGCTCTTTGTGACCCCACACTATCTTTTAATTTCTACCTCCTCCTCCTCATTACAATGTTCAACACCCAAGCCTCACACCCAAGTGGTTCCACTATGGTACATTCTCTTCTTGTTGCCTCCATAGATAAACTTCTTTCCATAGTTGCTTCAACACACCACCTACATTTTCTTCCCTTTTAATCCAGATATTTAGAGAAAAAAATTACTATACATCTTTAACATCATTTCCAACTCATATTCTTGATAAATTAGACACATGTGCACTAATAGCTCTACAGCCATGGTGCATATGTCTAATTTATCAACTTGTTGGTTCTCTGAACCATTCATCTTCAACTCATATTCTTATAGAGTAAATAGGTTTAAGGATTCACATTTAATAAAATAATAAAAAACTTACTTGTTTGCAGCATCTTCAGTATGTTTAGCATTTGATATTTGGTTCTTTATTGCTAATAAGAGAGATTCTGGCATAAAATTATTTGTACTATCTTCTTCATATAAATGTTGTAACTCTGACAGCAATTCCTCAGAAGTAAGAATGTCTCCCATGACTTCCTGAAAAGACAATAAATAAAAGGATATAAAAAAGCAAAACAAGAATTATCGTGGTTATAATTATTAGGATAATACAAATTATGATGATGGTGGTCATAATACTAATAAAGCAATGAATTAGTGGCATCATGCATGGCTATGGCAAGCTCTCTGACTCATAGGAAATCAACTTTCAAATACATGTATATAGGTAAGTAAGTTTATTCAGGTATACACAAATACAGTTACACAGATTATTATACATAGCAGCATATGTGTGGAGAACCTAGGATAACCCAAAAAAGTCAGACAGAGTGACTTATTTTCATTGGGGTCCTTATACTAAACTCAAAGTTGCATGTAGCTACCTTACCTTTCATATACCTTTGATGAGTTTCAAGAATCTTACTACTCTCAGAGCCCGGCCATGGGCCAGGCTCAACTGGCGCTAAGCTAGTCAACCAGGCTGTTGCTGTTGGAGGCCCGCTGCCCCACATATCCATCACAGCCTGGTTGATCTGGCACCCGGTGAAGATACTTGTCCAGTTTTCTCTTGAAGACTTCTACACTTGTTCCAGCAGTGTTTCTGATATCTTTTGGTAAGACATTGAATCTGGGGCCATGAATGCTGATGCAGTGTTCAAGATTCTAAGGTGTTCCCAGTAATTTAAATGCTTTAATGGCTCTATGTGAACTGTAAACAATCTCTGTATTTGTTCAAGCTCTGATATTTCTCCTGCCTTGAACAGGACAGTCAACATTGAGCAATATTCTAAATGAGGAAGCACTAGCTAATTAACTAGGACAGTCACAGTGTTTGCAGACAATAACAATGACAACATAATAATAATAATGTACAGCAATAACAACAATACATACAGTATTTTACAGCATAGAAGACACTATTTTTTCCAAAAATAAGTCAAAAATTTACCTGGCATTTTGGAAGCCGAACTACTGTTTATTTTATTTATTATTTTTTTTTTTCAAAATTTTGGCCAGTCAGAATTGGGGGGGAATGGGGAGGGCATCCTCGACACTAGAGCATCTTATTTGCCATAAAATATGGTAAGTGTTTGCACTCTGAAGGATGGGTGATAATGCTGAGTTCAGATGGTTATTTAAACTTTGATGTCCACACACTTCTGGTGTGAGTTATTGAATGAGTGGTGGTGAAGTGTGTTTCCTCTTTTGGGGTCACCCTACATTAGTGAGAAAAGGCCTATGTGGTAAAGTCTTTTATTTCCAAAACTATGCTTTTGTCTAAGATTTTTTTTTGAAACATCCACAGTTATGCACAGAATTTTAGATATTTAAACTAGCACTAAAACTACTTTATACAAATAAATTGCATAACATGATGTTATGTAATTTGTCCCACCATTCTTGAACAGCTTATTACATCAGCCTTATCAAAACATTATCTCTATGTATTGTACCTGGAAGGCTATGATCATGTCTCCTCTGTTCCTTCATGCCTCCAGAATGGCACAGTTAACTTCTGTAAGATTATTCTCATAAAGCCTTACAGAGGAAGGATTCTTTCCCACTTTCCCATGTAGAAGTAATATTATTAATAATAATTATTTGCTGCAGCATTACCAATATTTTATAAATTGGGAAGGTACACCAAAATTTAATTACTTTCATCTATTGTGATACTGCATGTACAAAAGAAAGATATGCAGAATAGATTGAAGCCATACAGCAATGCAAAGGGAGAAGCAAATGTACTTGCATGGTCCAGTATATAAAACAGGTCTGGGTAGCTGCAGTTAACACACTGGGGATGATATGCAGTAAGAAACAAACACATGTAAATTCTACTCCTGATAGTGCTACATTAGCCCCAAAACAACTGACATGAAACCAAAATACCTGTTAGCTACATCTAACTTCTCATCCCCTCCCCCACAAGCCTTATTATACATGCCTAAAATGAAACCCTCTAGTATACTGCTTACCAGGGCAAACCCTCCAGCATGTTGCTTACTAGGGCAAACCCTCTAGCATGCTGCTTACCAGGGTAAACTTTCTAGCATGCTGCTTACCAGGGCAAACCCTCTAGCATGCTGCTTACCAGGGTAAACCCTCTAGCATACTGCTTACCAGGGCAAACCTAGCATGCTGCTTACCAGGGCAAACCCTCTAGCATACTGCTTACCAGGACAAACCTTCTAGCATACTGCTTACCAGGGCAAACCCTCCAGCATACTTCTTACCAGGGCAAACCCTCTGGCATACTGCTTACCAGGGCAAACCCTCCAGCATGTTGCTTACTAGGGTAAACCCTCTGGCATACTGCTTACCAGGGCAAACCCTCTAGCATGCTGCTTACCAAGGCAAACCTTCTAGCATACTGCTTACCAGGGCAAACCCTCTAGCATGCTGCTTACCAAGGCAAACCCTCTAGCATACTGCTTACCAAGGCAAACCCTCTAGCATGTTGCTTACCAATCTTCATCCGACCATGTCCAAATCAGTAACAGCATGTGCCAGGCACCCACTTCTTGCCCAAATAGCTGTCAACAAAATACATTCACTTAGAACATGTCTAAGCCCATTTAGTTTACAAAGTGCCAGATTGCTATTTAAACAGAACTGTTAGTTAGGAAACAACACATATCTAAGGAGAGCACAACTAAATCATAATATAATGGTGACCTAAGACTTTTCACAACACAAGCATTATCTTGGATAATCAAAATGCTAAGTTTTCTCTGCTCACAGACTGTATCATTACTCTGCTAAAACACAAATACTGCACATTTGCAGTAGTATGATTACAGCTTATGTTCTTTACAAGAACATACCTCTAATACACGTTCTGTAATGGCACAGGGCAGCAGGACCACCAGCCTGCACACAATTTGCAGAAATACCCATAGTAAGGCAGACAGTAGTCAACCCCAAGTTTTCCTGCATTTTTCAGCTGACAGACATCATAGAAACAACAAGTTTTGCCTGTTTCCACCTATGGAATACTCAGGAGAATCACTTCTTAACCCTTTGACTGTTTTGGCTGTACATAAACGTCTTACGAGCCAGTGTCTCGGACATGTATATACTCAATAATTCTAGCGGCTTCAAATCAAGCAGGAGAAAGCCGGTAGGCCCACATGTGAGAGAATGGGTCTGTGTGGTCAGTGTGCACTGTATAAAAAAAATCCTGCAGCACGCAGTGCATGAGAGAAAAAAAACTCTGACCGTGTTTTTGGATTAAAATGCCGAATTTGAGGTGTATTTTCCGATAGTATTTGTTGTTTGATAGAATGGAAAACATATTACAGAAGTAGAGATGATTTTGATTAGTTTCATGATGAAAATGACCTTGAAATTGAGATCAAAGTAGCGGAAATGTTCGATTTTTACCAATGTTCAGGAGTAAGCAAATCACACCACACATCCAATACAAGTCAACTGGGGAGTCTAATATTCTTTCACTATTGCACTTATATTATTTATACCATTTTCACAATAATGCAGTAGTCTGCATAACAGTAAATCTTCTATTTTTTGTGTGAATAAAAAATCAAAATAGAAAGCAAGAGTAATATAAGAGGGGCCTGGAGACATGACTAATGAACAGAGGATATGTTATTTAAGTGCCAAGAATGTCTGCATTGTTTATTCTGAACCCTATCTTGAAATTGGCATCTTTTTTTAATTTGCGTGAAATTGGCCAAATTGCCAATTTCTGACCACTTTATTGGGTAGTTGAAATCAGTAAATGGGCAGTTTCTTGTACTCAACTGATAGAAAAATGGACTTCTAAAGAAATAGCTATGAGTTTGGCCGACTGGAACAATGGAATTGGCAGAAAATAGGGCTCAAAGTTGGCGAAATTGCCGATGCATATATAATGCCGAGATCGCTAACTTTGCGGAGCATAATTCCGTGTGTTTTCGATAAAATTTCGTAGTTTTGGTGTCATTACTATCGGGAAAAGATTGTCTATCATTTCATAAGAAAAAATCTTTTTTTTTCCAAAAATTTTTCGACACCAGGAGATGCTTCAGGATTTGGGGTTGCGACAGTCAAAAGGTTAACAAGCAACAAAGGCTTCTTGATTCATAATGAAATATAACAATCTATGCCAGATACAGAAGGAGAGGCTGCAAAATACACTACATATAAATAAAAAATATTAACACTAATAATATTGTAATAATACACATGTAATAATAATAATAATAATAATAAATACTGTAATTTTATTGGTCATGCGTGAGTGAGAGCACGCACACCTACTTGTTGCAGGGTGTATGAGTGCATTGTGTGTGTGCATGTGTATGTGTATGTACATGTATATATGTGTATATGTGTATGTGCATAACACATATGTGCATGTGTATTATGTGTATGTGTATGTGCATAACATGTATGTGTATAACATGTATGTGCATGTGTATGTGCATAACGTTTATGTGCATAATGCGTATGTGCATAATTTGTGTATAGTGTGTATATGTGCATATTGTGTATATGTGCATGTGTATATGTGCATGTGTATATATGCATGTGTTTATATGTATGTGCACAATGAGTGTATGTGCATACCTGGAGTTTACTCGGAGAGGGTTTAAGGGGTCAACGCCCCCGCAGCTCGGTCTGAGACCAGGCCTCATGGTGGAACAGGGTATGATCAACTGGGCTGTTACTGCTGGCTGCACACAAATTGACATATGAACCACAGCCTGGTTGGTCAGGTAATGACTTTAGGTGCCTGTCTAGTGCCTTCTTGAAAACAGCCAGGGGTCTACTGGTAATCCCCCTTACGTATGCTGGGAGGTAGTTGAACAGTCTTGGGCCCCGGACACTTACTATGTTGTCTCTTAATGTACTCGTGGCACCCCTGCTTTTCATCGAGGGAATGTTACATCTCCTGCAGAGTCTTCTGCTTTCATAGAGTGATTTTCGTGTGCCGGTTTGGTACCAATCCCTCCAAGACCTTCCAAGTGTATATTATCATGTATTTCTCTCGCCTGCATTCCAGGGAATACAGATCAAGGACCTTCAACCGTTCCCAGTAATTTAGGTGCCTTATCGTACTTATGTGTGCCGTGAAAGTTCTTTGTATGCTCTCCATGTCTGCAATGTCTCCAACCTTGAAGGGGGCCGTTAGTGTACAGCAGTATTCCAGCCTAGAGAGAAAAAGCGATTCGAAGAGAATCATCATCATGGGCTTGGTGTCCCTAGTTTTGAAGGTTCTCATTATCCATCCGATCATTTTCCTAGCAGATGAGGTATATACAGTGGACCCCCGCATAACGATGGCATCGCATAGCGATTTTTCCGCATAACGATTACTTTTATCGCAAAATTTTTGCCGCGCATACCGATTAAAAACCCGCATACCGATTTTCGTCCGAGACGCGTCCAATGTGCCCTCAGCCAGCCTCACATGTGCCGCTCCGTCCCATTGTTTACCAGCCAGCCTCCGCGGTAACATCCAAGCATACACTCGGAATATTTCGTATTATTACAGTATTTTCGGTGCTGTTTCTGGAAAATAAGTGACCATGGGCCCCAAGAAAGCTTCTAGTGCCAACCCTGTGGTAAAAAGGGTGAGAATTAGTATGGAAATTAAGAAAGATTTGAAGGGTTTTGGGGCTAACCCTGAGAAGCCTATGCCAGTTGTGGAATCCATTGTGCCTACTTCAAAGATTAAGGAAATGTGTGCACAGTGGGTTGAACTGCAAACCTTTATAGATGAGAAATCACCTGACACAGCTGTTGCAAGCCGTGCTGGTGACTATTTCAATGACAATGTTGTGGCCCATTTTAGACAAATCGTAAAGGAACGGGAGGTACAGAGCTCTATGGACAGATTTGTTGTGCGACAGAGGTCCAGTGACTCTCAAGCTGGTCCTAGTGGCATTAAAAGAAGAAGGGAAGTAACCCCGGAAAAGGACTTGCTACCTCAAGTCGTAATGGAAGGGATTCCCTTCTAAACAGTAAGAAGATAATGCTCTCCCCTCCTCCCATCCCATCAATCATCACCAGATCTTCAATAAAAGAAAGGGTCATTTAATTGTGCATGCCTTTTTCAGTTTGTGTGTATTAAAATTAACATTTCATGTGGTAAAAAAAAATTTTTTTCATACTTTTGGGCGTCTTGCACGGATTAATTTGATTTCCATTATTTCTTATGGGGAAAATTCATTCGCATAACGATTATTTCGCATAACGATGAGCCCTCTTGCACGGATTAAAATCGTTAACCGGGGGTCCACTGTACATTGTTGTGGTCTTTCAAGGCGAGATCCTCTGACATTATCACTCCCAGGTCCTTCACAGTTCTTTTTCACTCTATTGTATGGTTAGAATTTGTTGTATATCCTGATACATTTTTAACCCTTTCAGGGTTCAAAGGCCAAATTTCAAAGTGCGCACCAGGGTCCAAGAATTTTCAAAAAATAATTTTGTTATTTTTCTTATGAAATGGTAGAAAATCTTTTTCTGAAGGTAATAAAACAAAAAGTACGAAATTTGATGGAAAATTGAGGAAATTATGCTCGTGAATTTTGATGTGTCAGTGATTTTGCCGACTTTGACTCCCATTTTAGGCCAATTACATTATTCCAGTTGACCAAATTCTTAGCTATTTCACTAGTATTACTTCTATTCTATTGATTGAGCACAATAAATTGCCAAGTCAACTGTTTCAACTGCAAAATAAAGTGATCAGAAATTGGTAATTTGACCAATTTAATGCGAAGTTCAAAACATTTCAATTTCAAATTAGGGTCCAGAATAAACAATGCAACCATTCCTGGCACTAAACTAACATTTCCTCTGTTCATTAGTTACGTTTTCAGGCTTTACAAATGAATTCCATTTTGATTTTTAATTCACATAATGAATTTTTATTCAAACCGAAAATTAGAAGATTTACTGTCATGCAATATTGTAATAATTGTATAAATAATATCAGCACATTTGTGAACGTATACTAGACCCACCAACTGGTGTGTATTAGATGTGTGAGGTCATTTGTTTACTCTTGAACATTGGCAAAAATTTAACATTTCTGCAAATTTGAGCTCAGTTTCAAGCCATTTTCAATACTAAAACCAATCAAAATCATCTCTATTTCTGTAATATATCTTCCATTCTATCAAATGAGACCAAGAAATTGCAAACACAACTATAAAAAATATACGAAAAAACACTGCAGCCTGTGTTTTAATCGAAAATTAAGGTCTCAGTTTTTTCCTCTCATTATGCAGTGTGCTGCAGGATTTGTTTTATGTGGTGCACACATACCACATAGATGTATTCTCTCATATCAAGGCCAAATTTACCACTCACAGCTTATCAGACTGAGCTGAGCTCATGGTGTAGATCTACGGTTTGGACCCTCAACATAAAGCCGTAGATCTACAGCATGGACCCTGAAAGGGTTAATTTCCTCAAGTTTCCTATATCTGAGTAGTTGATATTTCTCCTATTTGAACTTCATATTATTTTGAGTGGCCCATTTGAAGATTTGGTTGATGTCCACTTGGAGTCTTGTGGTGTCTTCGATGGAGGTCACTGCTATGGCAATCGGGGTGTCATCCACAAAGAAAGACATGGAGCTATGGCTTACATCTCTATGTCAGAAATGAGGATGAGGAATAGAATGGGAGCAAGTATTGTGCCTTGTGGAACAGAGCTTTTTACTGTGGCTACCTGGGACTTTACTCTGTTTACTATTACTCTTTGTGTTCTATTTGTCAGGAAGTTATAGATCCATCTACCAACTTTTCCTGTTATTCCTTTATCACACATTTTGTGTGCTGTTACACCATGGTCACACTTGTTGAAAGCTTTTGCATAGTTTGTGTATACTAAATCTGTATTTTGTTTATCCTCAACAGCATCCAGGATTTTGTCATAGTCCAGTAGCTGTGACAGGCAGGAGCGACCTGCTCTCAACCCGTGTTGCCCTGGGTTGTGTAATTGATAGGTATCTAGGTGGTTGGCGATCTTGCTTCTTAGAACCCTCTCAAAGATTTTTATGATATGGGATGTTAGTGCTATCGGTCTGTAGTTCTTTGCAATTGCTTTACTGCCACCTTTGTGGAGTGGGGCTATGGCTGTTTTTAGTGTGTGTGGGATGACCCGTGTCGATGCTCCCTCTCTACAGAATGCTGAAGGCACGTGATAGGGGCTTCTTGCAATTCTTGATGAACATGGAGTTCCACGAGTCTGGGCCTGGGGCAGAGTGCATGGGCATGTCATTTATTGCCTTTTCAAAGTCCTGTAGAGTTAGGATAATATCCAAGATTTTTGAAATGACCAAATTTTGGGTTTTGTTCATGAAGAATTCTTCATGAACGAACAATTGTCGACCCTTAGTCTGGGCAGTGGCTCGCTAAACACTGAGTCGTATTCTGACTTTAATATCTTACTCATTTCTTGGCTGTCATCTGTGTATGTCCCATCCCACCTAAGCAGGGGCCCAATAATGGATGTTGTTTTTCCTTTAGATTTGGCATAAGAAAAGAAGTATTTTGTTTTTTTTTCAATTTCCTTTATGGCTTTAGTTCTTCCTGTGATTCTTGTCTCCTGTAAGATTCCTTCAGCTTAAGTTCGATATTTGCAATTTCAATGACCAGTGCCTCCCTTCGTATTTCAAACATATTTGCCCCTCTCAGTAGCTTTGTGACTCTTTGCCTTTGTCTGTATAGGGAGAGGTTCTCTCTTTCTAGTTTATGTCTTCTCTTTCTTTTTCTTAATGGAATGTGTCTTGAGCAGATTTCCAGAACTACAGAGTTAATTTTTTCTAGGCAAATGTTCAGATCTGTGTTGTTTACGATATCTTTCTAGCTTGTTTCACTTAGGACATTGTTGACTTGATCCCATTGTATGTTTCTGTTATGTGTATATATGTGTATGTATATTTATGTGTATATATGTACTGTAATTTAAGATATTAACCCTTTGGGGGTTTCGGATGTACTAGTATGTCTTACGACCCAGGGTTTTTGATGTACTGGTACGCCTAAATTCTAGCGCCCTCAAATCTAGTGAGAGAAAGCTGGTAGGTCTACATATGTAAGAATGGGTCTATGTGGTCAGTGTGCGCAGTATTAAAAAAATCCTGCAGCACACAGTGCGTAATGAGAAAAAAAAAACTGACCGTATTTTTGGATTAAAAGTGACTTTGCACTGTATTTTCGTATGGTATTTATTGTTGTATGCTAGTTTTCTTGGTCTCATTTTATAGAATGGAAGACATATTACAGAAATTGAGATGATTTTGACTGGTTTTACAATGAAAAGTACCTTGAAATTGAGCTCAAAGTAGCAGAAATGTTTGATTTTTACCAAGTTCAAAAGTAAACAAATCATGCCAAGCATCCAATACACATCAACTGGTGAGTCTAATATTCTTTCACAAGTGTGCTGATATTCTTTATACCATTTCTACACTAATGCAGTAGTCTGCATAACAGTAAATCTTATTTTTTTTATATAAGAATAAAAATTCAAAGTGGAAAGCCAAAGAAATATAAGAGGGGCCTGGGGATGTGACTAACGAACAGAGAACTTGTTATTTTAGTGCCAGGAATGTCTTTCTTGTTTATTCTGGACCCTATTCAGAAATTGGCATCTTTTGAAATTTGTGTGAAATTGTCAAAATTGCTAAATTCTGACCACTTTATTGGATAGTTGAAACCAGTATATGGGTGGTTTCTTGTACTCATTCGAAGTAGTTATGATTTTTGTCGACTAGTACACTGGAATTGGCCGAAAATAGGGCTCAAAGTGGGCAAAATCGCCAATACGTAAACATCGTAGAGACCGCTAACTTCGTGAGAGCATAATTCCATAAGTTTTCCATCAAATTTCATACTTTTGGTGTCATTATGACCGGGAAAGATTCTCTATCTTTTCATAAGAAAAAATCATTTTTTTTTTTAAATTTGGCCGACCCTGAGAACAAGTCTCTGAGAGGACCTGTCAACCCCCAAAGGGTTAATAGGATATGCCAATATGAAGCATATTAAAAATTGTTTGACAACTGTTGGACTGTATTTTATGTATGCAATACGTGTACTGTATTCTTAATGACCCTGTATGACTTAACTTGTATTATGTTCAAGCAGAGTTTTTCCACATTTCTTTGAAAAATAATGTTTAATAGTTTTTAGACTCTTAAAGTAGGGTGTTACATATTATTCTTTCTCTCATTCTACTATTGATCCTAAGATTTTACTTAGGATGAATTGTGGAATAACAAAGCTGCACTGTACTGTTTTTACTTCTTGTATTATGTCTATTTTATTATATTTTTCGAAAAAGAGCTTTAGTTCTGGGTTTACATAATAGTTTCTTCCACCTTTCCTCTTTGTTATATTGGGCAACTGAAGGTCGAAGTTTGATAGTGAATACAATATGTTATGAATTCTGTTACTGTAGTATCTGGGATACATACAGAACCTGCTGCATAACCTGATCATGTGTCTGTGTGCAACTTCACAGTGGGACATGTGCTGGAAGGTAACCCTGTCAGTGTTGGGCTATTGAATATGGTAGAGGATATCTTGCCTTTTCTGGTGAAAGGAGAACATCTGTTTGGTGCTGTGGCCTAGATGATGGTCTAGTGCAGTCGCGGGACGCTGGTTTCTAAAGTAGAAATTCTAAATTACTATGCTGTATATAGGGTGGTTATTTTCTCAGAAGCTTATGATACAGATTGATTATTTACAGTATTAAAAGTAATTAGATGTATTTTCGCGGTTAGAGTTCTGGCATTTTTGAGAGAGAGTTTATGGAGTTTAAGTGATCAATTCATTGATCCCACAATTAAATACCACATGATGAAATGGGTAAAACAAAGGTTGATTCTGTGCTGTGGGGAGAGTTTACCTGGAGACTGCCTGTCCACTTATCTGTTGCACAGGTAGCTGTTGGCAATGGTGGAACTATGCATGACTGTTCATGGTTCTTTGGTACACAACTTTGAGGTTGGACAACTTTTGAAACAAACTGGGCATTCATGTTGTATGCATATGGTTGGCTTCAGAGGTGCATGGCAAGGGCATGTTCTAGGAAAGATATGCACAAGACTATATTCTGTCCCACAGCATTTATACAAGGATGAGGCACTGTTGGATGCTGCAATTATGGATGATGCAGTACATCGTGGTTACTGATGAGTGTATTACATGTAAGCACCTTAATACAGATGAATTGGTTTTCTTTTGAGATCTGCATGCCAATGACAGTAAAAATACTGTAACTCATCCTACTGTACAGAATTTGACTTTGTTGACTTATTCTTGGTTAAATTATTACTTGAACTTATTATAGGCCCACATAAGATCAAATGAGATTATTTTCCCTCTTGAAACCTGCTTATTGAATTTTCATCCAGTATTCATCCTGCTGTATTTTTGTTTCTGTTATTTTTTTTCTACTCCCATAGATTGTACAATAAGTTACAATCCTTTTATTCTGACATGCAGTGGAACGTTGACTTACATGTCTCAACATACGAGTTTTTTGAGATACGAGCCGTTGTTCGTTTGATTTTTGCTCTGAGTTACGAGCGAGCTTCCCCGCTTCCCCCTTAACCCACAAACCTCGCTTGTTCATCTATGATTTCATGCTTTAATTCCATGGACATCATCCTCTTTTTCTTCTCAGCACTGTACTTTGCACTTACTTTCTTAGGACCAATGATTAGAAAAAAGAAATTTGGCATGATAAATGCACAAAATAAAAGCAAAACACGAGAGAAATGCTTCCACAGCAAGGTAAACAGTGCACTGAGTTGGTGGCGTTCTGAAGCTTGCTCATTATTATTATTATTAATTTAGGGAACTGGAGCACAGATCCAATTCCCTAGATCAAGAGCCCCTCACCAGCGTCAAGGTTCCATCTCACACTTTGAGCCCTTTCACTTTCATCAAGTTTCTATGAAGGTTCAGGCAAACAACTCACATGAAGATGTGGAGTGAGCAGTAGTGGGGGTTTGTTCAACTCACACCAGAAAGGATGTTGAGTCAAGATAAATAATATTTGTTCTAATTCTTAGCCCAGAGGATCTGCCACCCAAGATAACCCAATAAAGTCATTACATCATTGAAGATTGTCTGTCTTACATGCCCAATATTTCCACCCATGCTGGGGATTAAACCATGGACACTCACTGTGTGAGGCAAGTGCATTGCCAACAAAGCCTTGGGACATGGTGAACCCTATTATTGTTATGGGGCACATCCTGGACAGCATGGGTGTCCTGTGGCTCAGTTATTGGATTTCCTGTGGCTCAGCTGATGGGTGTCCCATGGGTCAGTTATTGGATTTCCTGTGGCTCGGTTGATGGGTGTCCCATGGTTTGGTTACTGGGTGTCCCAAGGCTCAGTTGATGGGTATCCTATGGCTCAGTTACTGGGTATCCTGTGGCTTAGTTAACAGTGCACTCAGCCCACTTACTGTGGTTTGATCACCAGCACAGGTAGAAATGTTGGGCATGTTTCCTTATTATATTACACCTGCTGACCCTGTTCACCTAGCAGTAAGTTGATACCTGGGTGTTAGTCGACTGGTGTAGGTTGCTTCCTGAAGGACAAGATTAAAGGACCCCTATGGAAACAGGACAGACAAAGAGTCCTTGATGACACACTGACTTTAATGGGTTTTCCTTGGTGGTTAACCCAACAAAATCTTATCTTGTTACATAACATCTGACCTTATGATGGATCTAATGGCTTCCTTTTTTATATGAAAATTGGTTTGAGGTGGATAACTGAGGTATAACCCCAAGCTCAATGGAAACAGGTATATTTTGGGCCAGTTCAAAAACTTTTTTGTAACAAAATAAGTAACTAACTTATTATACTCTAACTTAGAAAAGGAGGTAAATTCTAGGTTAAGTTAGGAAAGGATATATAAGGATGGGTTAGGTCTTTTGGTTACCAAAGAAAAAAAAGCATGTTCCCAACAGACCAAAAAATATGCTACCAAAGAAAAAAGTTTCCCCCAATGATGAAAAAAACATAACTATTTCCATTGCACATTACGCCTACCATTTGAGAATTTACAGAATAAAAAAACATAAGGATTTTTGTACATTTACTGATTTCCTTGTCAGAGTTCATAGGTTCAAACCTAAAGCGTTTCACAAATACATATGTTTTTTCCTGAAAATCACATGGATAAGGAAGAAAAGGACAAAAAGAGTGTTATAAATAGTACTAGGGTGTATGTGAATTATGTTGAAATAATAATAATAATAATAATAATAATAATAATAATAATAATATCTATTTACTACAAGTACATATACAAGGTATACAAGCCTAGCTGACATCAGTGACATACTACTATATAGAAAGCCGCTTGTTATGCAGAGCATTTTGGGCAAATTAGGTCAGTTTTGTCCCAGGATGTGACCCACACCAGTTGACTAACACCCAGGTACCCATTTTACTGATGGGTGAACACAGACAACCGGTGTAAGGAAACACATCCAATGTTTCCACCCCTTCGCCAGGAATCGAACCTGGACTCTCACCGTGTAAAATTCTCGCTTCAAACAGTAAACATGCCCACAATGGTTCAATAGTAGTGGGGGTGGACATGATAACCACATGTAAGGTCATAAAAGGAGATGAAAGAATAGTTAAAGAGGCCTCTTGTTATCCCTTTTGCAGGGATAACAAAAGATCATAAAATAAGAGATAAGATTTTCTTTGGATTTTTAACCCCAGAGGGTTAGCCACCCAGGCTAACCCAAGAAAGTCAGTGCGTCATCGAGGACTGTAACTTATTTCCATTGGTGTCCTTAATCTTGTCCCCAGGATGCGACCCACACCAGTCGACTAACACCCAGGTACCTATTTGCTGCTAGGCGAATAGGACAACGGGTGCAAGGAAACGTGTCAATATGTTTCCACCCGCCGGGAATCGCACCTGGGCCCTTCGTGTGTGAAGCGGGAGTTTTAGCCACCAGGCCACCAGGCCTGGTGGCTAAATTGCAAAAAAAAGTGGGGTTGAAGGGATACTAGGAACTTTTTCTTTTCCAAGAATGGTAGTTCAAGGGAATGAATTACAAGAGGATGTACTAAGTGCTTCAACCACTGAAAAATTGTATGATGGACAAATTATTGAAGACTAGGCACCATGAGCATAGCTATGCTCCTATAGCTACAAATACCTGGATAGGGTTTTGGGGGTCAACACCCCCACGGCCCAGTCTGTGACCAGGACTAGCTTTGGATCAGGGCCTGAACAACCAGGCTGTTATTGCTGGCTACATGTAAACTGACATACAAACCACAGCCTGGCTGGTCAGGTACTGACTTTAGATGCCTCTCCACTGCCTTCTTGAAGACAGCCAGGGGTCTATTGGTAATATCCCCCCTATGTATGTTGGGAGGCAGTTGAACAGTTTTGGGCCCCTGACACTTACTGTGCTGTTCTTAGCATACTTGTGGCAACCCTGCTTTTCATTGGGGGGATGTTGCATTGCCTGCTGAGTCTTTGGCTCTCATAGGGAGTGATTTTCATATGCAAATTTAGTACTAATCCCTCTACGATTTTCCAAGTGTATATTATCATGTATCTTTCTCACCTGCTTTCCAAGGAATACAAGTCAAGGAAATTCAACCGTTCCCAGTACTTTAGATGTTTTATAATCCCTACCCACAGCCATATTTTCTATTATCTTTAATTCATGTTAAATATAAGGGTTATAGCATTCAAGGAATGGACGGTAATCTGGTGTGATTGAAAGAATGAGATCAACTCCAGTTCCTTGGATCAGAAGCTTTCAGTGCTATCTCACTATACCAATGGGGAGTGCTAAACTTGTAGGGGCCATAGCACCAGGAAAATGGAAGGCAATGAGATTCGATCAAGGAAAGGATGGTGGCTCCAATTCTTTGAATCAAGAGCTTTTCACTGCAATGGAGGCAGACTTGTAATTACCAATTTATAATTATAAGTTTATTTAGGTATATATACACATAAGTACAGTTACAGAAATTCAGGTGATTACAGTTATCATACACAGTAACATGTATAAATTACCTAAGATAACACAAAACAGTGAGATATCTATTGGCGTCCTTATAGGAACACAGATATACTCATTTTCTTCATTAATAAATTCATCACATTTTTGGAAATTTCAAATTCTTGTAATACTATTTACAACCATTCTTTAACTTATATTTCATTCTTTATTCACTCAACTTGCAAAGCAACATTTCACACTCGGTTACACTAATAATCAAAATTTCATTTTCCTCCATCAGTTTTATTAGGTTGCCACTTTTGTCATAAACTACATTTGCTTACATATAAACACTTACATATAGTGGCAGAGTTGTTGTAGAAGACAGCTGCTACTTAAATAAGACCCAACCCTCACACCAGACAATTTCTGTCTCATACGTTTTGGTACAAGTTTTGAAGGTCTGGTCTATCATGTTCTCCTCACTCGTATAATTATCTTCAACTTTCTTCCTGACCATCATTAATTTAACTCACTAGACTCGTCACTTAATATTGTACATAATTATTAGTTAAAGATGGACAGATATAATCTGTGGCTTCAGCCCCCCTAAATATATATTATATATATACATATATATTGATCACTGGCAATCTTTGGGTAATTTCCAGGTTGGTATGACATTATTAGTAGAGTTTTTTTTTAGAGAAAATACTGTACTTTGTTCTGTTGGAAATATTTTCATTATGTTTTAAATTAAAACAGTAAAATCAAATTTATTAATTTCTATAGAGTCATACAAATACAATATACATTCGAAATTATTATATATTGAGTGATTAATAACTTTATATATTTATTTTTGTTTTGATGGTATTATAATAGCGATATAATTAAATACTACATAAGGCTTTTGGGAAATCCAGTCATTAAACAAATGTATTTCGGGTCAACTTATCAATAAGGTTACTAACTGCCCAATTCTAGACCTTGAATAAAATTTAAGCTAGTATAGCTTGGGTAATACACTACAATTTATGATAAGTAAAAAAGGACAGGTTACAAATGAAAAAAAAATGATCAAATACAAATTAATTACATTAAAATAACAGTGGTTCAGCGACCTACACATTAAGTTAAATTGGGGCGTTGAAATCTAAGCACAATAATTTATGGACAATGGATATAACATTTATGTGAAATTATTTGAGATTTAATAGGTACTTTTAAACAAAAGTAGTGAAGATGTTGGCCGATGGGGAACTTTTATCATTTTCAGAAAGTGAGTTCCAAATTTTTGGAACTTTTACCCGTATGTTTTTGAAAAGGTTGCTACTTGTTCCTTGTATTGTGTTTGTGTTCTGTTGCAGCTCTCCAGATAGAAGATACATAGCAATACTAATAATCTAATTCCAACATTTTTCAACGAATGGAGGGATAAGCCAGTGGAAGGCCTCGGTCAGATGACCAAAAGCTCCAGTGGAGAGTCATCCATATGACAAGATTAGCGTCAGGAAGCAACTGTACTGTTTCCTGACAAACCTTACCTTACTTAATCCACATGGAATTTAAAGTAGACCCCTATAGACACAGTGTGCACAAGAGAAAGTAAATACTGTGCAGCTTAAGTAAATTTAAACTTCTGAGTAAGGAATGTGTGTTGCCGGATTATTATAATTATGGGGAGCACTAAACCCGTAGGATTAAACAGTGTATGTGGGAGGGGGGTGGGAGATGGATGGAATTCAGGTTCAATTCAGGGAACTGGAGCACAGATCCAATTTCCTGGATCAAGAGCCCCTCACCAGCGTCAAGGACCCTCCCTTGAGGGGTGTGTTGCTGGAGCCTGAATGGTAATAATTCTGAGAGATGATTTTTGCTGAGTAGCAACACAGGTTTAAGGTAATAACTGTTGTTAGTACCATGCAAAGGTACCACAGGTGAGGCATGGATAGACCGAGAATAGTACAGGGTGAACAAGGATGTTTGGGGAGCATGACAATGTATTATTCCCAGCCAGAGTAGAAACATTGGACGTGTTTCTTTCCACCTGTTGTCTATGTTCCCCATCAGTAAAATGGGTACCTGGGTGTTAGTCGACTGGTGTGGGTCGCATCCTGGGACACTGACCTAATTTGCCCGAAAATGCGGAGCATAACAAGGGACTTTCTATATAGTAGTATGTCATTGTTGTCAGCTAGGACTGTATACCTTGTACATGTACTTGTAGTAAATAAAGATATTATTATTATTATTATTATTATTATTATTATTATTATTATTATTATTATTATTATTATTATATAATTATTATTGAGAGAATGCCGACTGTTTGGGAAATTTTATTGGAAATGTTTTGGGTGTGAGTGTTGAATTTTAATTTGCTGTCCAAGTGCATCACCTAGAATTTACCCTCGATGATGAATAATCGGGGAAATATTAGATGCTTTACTCTACCTCTGCCTGGAGCATCTGTTAGGAATTTCAGCTATTTTCTTCCCGGAAAACTTGTACTCATCATAAGCAGCTGGGCAATTGGTCGGGCCGATATGAATAACCTTGGGGAAAATCTGTTGTTGTTGACTCAGCCAGAGACAAGGTATGGACGTCTGGCTTTGTCACTGTTTAACCATCGGGGTCCACCTAACCTAATTTCGAATATATTTTTCATATATATGAGGAAACTTGTCTCCATTCCATTACCTGCCCAGATCTGGGCAGTCGTTGCACCTAGTAATAATAATAATATTTATTTCTACATGTACGTGTACAGACCTAGCTGACATACAATAGTTAGTTAGTTTAATATGTTTATTATGCACCCCATACCCATCCTGTGGGCGGTAGTCAAAAGATTACAGAGGTACATAATTGGTCCAGGGACTGGACTCCAAAGTTTTGATAGCTGAGCAAGTTACAGAGGTAATGAACTCACAATTTACAAAGGTAATGAACTCACAATTTACAAAGGTAATGAACTCACAATTTACAAAGGTAATGAACTCCAGGTAAGTCTGGTCACAATCATGACAAGTTACAAAGGTATTTACAGATTACAGAGGTACGTAATGGGTCCAGGGACTGGGCCCCCAAAGTTTTGATAGCTGAACTAGGTACAAAGGTAATGAGCTCACAAGTTACAAAGGTAATGAATTCTGTAGAATGGTTACTTACGTTTATACTTTGGCTACAATCATGAACAAATTATAGAGTAATGAGCAATTCACACTTCCACACCCGGTCACAACTGTAATGAGTTATTGGTGCAAATATTGATTGTTGAGTCACACACACCACACACACACACACACACACACACACACACACACACACACACACACACACACACACACACACACACACACACACACACACACACACACATGACGGAAGGGTTAGACTCAGAAGTGTCCCTGTTTGCAGATGATGTGAAGTTAATGACATACAATATAGGAAGCACCTTGTTATGCAGAGCATTTCAGGCAAAGTAGGTCAATTATGTCGCCAGGATGTGACCCACACCAGTCCACTAACACCCAGCTACCTGCTTACTCACAATACATCACTACTACACTACCATACACAAGGTCACCATACAACATTACCATGCACGTCACAATACATCACTACCATACACGTCACCATACAACACTACCATACACGTCACCATACAACACTACCATACACGTCACCATACAACACTGCCATACACGTCACCATACAACACTACCATACACGTTACATCACTACCATACACGTTACATCACTACCATACACGTCACCATACATCACTACTATACACGTTACTATAAAACACTACCATACATGTCACCATACAACACTACCCTACACGTCACCATACATCACTACTGTATTCCCTGGAACGCAGGCGGGAGAGATACATGATTATATACCCCTGGAAAATCACTCACTACGAAAGCAAAAGACTTGGCAGACGATGCAACATCCCCCAATGAAAAGCAGGGGTGTCACTAGCACGTTAAGAGACCATACAATAAGTGTCAGGGGCCCGAGACTGTTCAACTGCCTCCCAGCATACATAAGGGGGATTACCAACAGACCCCTGGCAGTCTTCAAGCTGGCACTGGACAAGCACCTAAAGTCGGTTCCTGACCAGCCGGGCTGTGGCTCGTACGTTGGTTTGCGTGCAGCCAGCAGTAACAGCCTGGTTGATCAGGCTCTGATCCACCAGGAGGCCTGGTCACAGACCGGGCCGCGGGGACGTTGACCCCCGGAACTCTCTCCAGATAAACTCCAGGTAAACACTACCATACACGTCACCATACAACACTAGCATACACGTCACAATACATCACTACCATACACGTCACCATACAACACTACCATACATGTCGCAATGTCACCATACAACGATACCATACACGTCACAATACATCACTACCATACACGTCACCATGAAACACTACCATACATGTTGCAATGTCACCATACAACGATACCATTCACGTCACCATACCCACCAGTATACATTTAATATCCTCTCCATACTTGTCACTACCATCTTCAGTAACCTCATATATATTATATATATTATATATATATATATATATATATATATATATATATATATATTATATATATATATATATATATATATATATTGTGGCATGCAAAGAGTACGTAACCTTTATTCAGCACATGTACACACCCTCATTTACAGGCTATCTCCCCCAACCAGCGAACCAGGTTGCTAAGAGTTGATGATGGGGCCCCGTCGTTCAACTAGTGACCAGGTTCTAGCCAATAAGAAGATGGTTTTGGCAATTGCAGAGGTTATGTGGGTACCGCTCTCCTGTTTGCCCTGGTCATTCCCATTCTAGAGCTGGTTGAAGCACGGTCTGCTATCTTGTGGCTTCTATTTCTGCTTTGCTTACCGTGGAGTGCACTATACTTATCACTGTACATAGTGTACATATTGCTGTTCTAAATTGGTGAAGGATAATATAAGTCTAAACTTTTTCTACTGTGTTTATTTTGCTCCCATTACACCCGGGGTAACAGGCCATTTGGAATCCTGGGTTGTAATATGGGGGCCTGTCCGGGAGTGCACTATACTTATCACTGTACATAGTGTACATATTGCTGTTCTAAATTTGTGAAGGATAATATAAGTCTAAACTTTTTCTACTGTGTTTATTTTGCTTCCATTACACCCGGGGTAACAGGCCATTTGGAATCCTGGGTTGTAATATGGGTTGTAATATTACAACCCATATTACAACCCAGGATTCCAAATGGCCTGTTACCCCGGGTGTAATGGGAGCAAAATAAACACAGTAGAAAAAGTTTAGACTTATATTATCCTTCACCAATTTAGAACAGCAATATGTACACTATGTACAACCTTATTGTAATATGTACACTTATCCATCAGGCTATTAAAGGACTTGAAGGCACGGCAGCGTACCTAGATGATATTGTTGTGGTGTCTGATACTTGGGATCAACACCTACTTAGACTTAAGGCTCTGTTTGAGACCTTTAAGAGTTCCCATTTAACAGTTAATTTATCTAAATCTTCCTTTGGCCAG